TTATAAGACTAGTGTTGAGTACTTTCGACATTACTTTAGTACAAATATCGTTAAATCTATTTAAAATAGTATTATAAAGGGGTGTTTAGTCATTTATATAACTATAAGGTCATTAAGTAACTATAGATAGTAGTTTTTGAAAATTCAATTACTATAAATAAACCTCTAGGCTCTCATATTTTTTGCGTCATTCTCTTGATTCAAGAGTCTTTCTCTTCTTATCCCCCGAGCATTTCGGTCCCTCGTGATTCGACTTCTCTTTCTGTATGTTTAGTATAGTAAGGTGAGGGCTGAAGCACTGCAAGAATCTTTCTTAGAAAGATTCAGCGTCGAAGTTCTGCCCCTGCAGAACCCGACTCCTAGCTAAAACCCCCTTTGTAAGTAAGTTATGCATACCCTACTTCAAGTATAGCTTATGTTTAAACTTAGTATTGTTATTATGAACTTATAATAAATATATGGGCTAGTATTATGACTTATATAAGTGTCGTTATACTGTCTTTTTAACTACTTGCGGTACGGGGAATCCGGTTTGAAGGGTCGCCTGGGTTGTTGGATTTTAGAAGTGCTTTAATGCCAAAATGGTCCTGCCCTCCGGTGTTTCATGTCTGACCCCTGTCTGTACATAGTGGTTGAAAAGTATTGTCTATCGCTTATATAAATAACAAACCAAGACTAATAATTAGTCACGAGAAACATTAGACTAAAATCTACTGGTAATAATACTAGGTTTCGTCGAAGGAAATTATATTAAGAAGCGGAGCGCTGTCCGAGTTTGGAGTCATACAAGTGAGTGCATAGTTACTTTAATCTTACAAATAGATATGAAGCATTTAATATAAACTACGTGCTATGTATGCATATTATCTATGTACTTAATATTTATGATGGATGAACAAAAATATACATGTTTTAATTGTTTTAAACTGTATATGTATTTTATACCTATAATTATGATGGGTAGATTAAAGATGAGATGAATGATGAGCGATGATATGTGAGTGGTAAAAGATAGCGAGAAGCGATGGCCCCATCA